ACTATTTCATCGGACATTCAAAGCCAGCTTTGACTAAATAATGAGTTCAAGGCCAGACTGTGATACATGAGACCCTGTCTCAAATAAATAACGAGAGAGAGAGAGAGAGAGAGAGAGAGAGAGAGAGAGAGAAAGGAAGGAAGGAAGGAAGAGGAAGGAAGGAGGGAGGGAGGGAGGGAGGGAGGGAAGGAAGGAAGGGGGGGGAAGGAAGGAGGGAGGGAGGGAAGGAGGGAGGAGAGAGGGAAGGAGGGAGGGGGGAGGGAAGCAAACAGGAGCACTGACCAAACGAATTCCCTCTACTCACTTCCTGGAGTACCTTAGGGTTAACCCAGTTCTTAGCTGTGGGGCTGGAAAAGGTGAGTCACCCAAGTGAGCAGCTCCCTTGTAAGAGGCGCTTTGAGTAATTTCCCTCAGAACACAAACTTGCAATTAGTCACCGGTTGACTGAAGAAGTAAAGTGTTTGAATTAGGAGCCAACAAGATTAAACAAACCCTATTAAAGCATGTTTTGGAACTGAGCACTTACACTTAGGATGTGTGTCCAGGCAAAACAAATGTGTCATCTTGCTGGTGAATGGGGGTTCTAGGAGCCTGCTTGGCTATCACAGGAGGACAGCGTGCTTTAGAGACTGTTAGTATCCATGACTTATTTTTTTAAATTCACTTTTATTTTGTAAATGTGTTTTGCCTGCATGTACGTGAGTGCACCATGTGTGTGCAGTGCCTGCAGAGGTCAGAAGAAGGTGTCAGATTCCCTGGAACTAGAGTTACGGATGGTTGTGGGTGCTGAGAACCGAATATGTGTCCTTTGCAAAAGTAGCCAGTGCTCTTAACGGCTGAGCCATCTCTCCAGCCCCTTGATGATTATTATTACTATTATTATTATTATTATTATTTATTTTGTCATTAGTCTTGGTAGCTGACAGCTACAATGTGAATACTGACACCCTCAAAGCTATTCACCCAAAAGGAAGACAAGCAGGATTGAGGAATCCCCAAAAGCAAGGCCCTCAGCCCAGGCTCGCCTTTGCTTTCTGTAGCTGGAGGATTTGAAGGCTCAGAAATGTCCAGGGGTCTGGCAAGATGGTTCAGCGGGTAAAGGTACTCGCCACCAAGCCTGAAGACCTGAGTTCAATCCCTGAGTCATGCATGGTGGAAGGAGAGAACCAGCTTCTGAAGACTGTCATCTGATCGCCACATACATGTAATGACAGACACGTGCCCTCCCACCCCCTGTGAAATAAATAAACGAGTGTAAAAAAAAAGTTTAAGAAAGATTTTCTCTCACTCCTCACTCCCTGGTCACTCCTAGGAATGTCAGTCTTGGGCCCAAACAAGGAAATTCTTAGAACCGCCGCTTACCCCAGCTATTCCTTGTCTATGAGCTGGCGGGGTGCTCTCTGGTTTCTTGATCTACAGATTTCTCTTCTGCGGGTTTTTGTTTTTCTTTTTGTTTTTCTGTACTGCTGTTGAAAAATACAAAAGAAAACTCTTGTTCAGGAAGATCACCTGCAGGCAAGCCCACCCAGTACCGCCCAGACGCCTCCTGACCACATTCCACAATACCCAGACTAGCCTCAGTATGCAGCCTGCCAACTTCCAGAGAAGACCACGGATTAAGCCACATAAAGCTGAATCCCACCCATGGGTCTGTATGGTGTGGCAAATCCAATCAAATGCCTCTGTGAGCATTGAACAAAATAAAGTCATCTGCTGGATATTTACTTCCTTTTGACCTAGTCCCTCAAAAGCTCATGTGTTGGAAATGTACCCTTAAATCGTATGTTAGTAGCATTTGGGAGGTGAGGTCTTGAGGACAGGGTCAATCATTGTCTCTATGGTGAGACTGGTGTCCTTATAAGAAGGGGAGGACACCCAAGCTGGCACATGGTATGTCATGCCAGGTGATGTCCTCTGCAAGTTCTTGTGCAACCAAAAGGCCTTCACCAGAAACATCTCTTGATCTTGACCATCTCAGCCTCCAAAACCGTGAGGTAGATAAACTTCTGTTGCTCATAATTTACCCAACCTGTGGCATTCTGTTATAGCAATGGGAAACAAACTGGAACATTCTTAATGGCTAAGGTTAAAAAACCATCAGAGGCAGCAGGGCAGAGGTCAGTGCACATGGCACAGATGGATGTAGTTGGCATCATCGGTCTAGGGGTTATAGTTGGGTTAATTTTCTCAGCAATTAAAGAATTAAATGGCAGGAAAAATCTCAGATCCTCAGAGAGCAACAGGCAAACAAACCTTTACTGAAAGATAAAGAATCGTATCCCTACACATAAGGAACCACACATACACGCACACATTCACACAGAAAGGTGAAGCCCTCTACAAGCGGAGAGGGGACCAGGATGCCAAGAGTCCAACTTCCTCTGGGGAGAATCTGGGTTTTGAGGGTTTAAGTGGTTTCCTCTAATTTTGGATTGATTAATTTAAGAAGAGAAGGCCGATAGGTCACTCTCCAAGCTGAGATATTTAGGGCTACATGACTCTAAGCAGGTCAAGTGGAAGGACCCTATTGGAGTTAAAACAATAATAATAAATAATAAAAATAATAATAATAATAATAAGGCTTTCCTTGTAGAGACCAAGAAGGAGCAGAAAGACCGCCACCTTTATTACTTCTCAGGAACACTGTTCGCTTATTAGGGATTTAGTCCCTACAAGATCATGCATTCCTTAGAGAAGAGGGCAGCATTCAGAAATCCGATGTTTGGACCTTGGTTCTAGATGTTTCTGATTGCCTTCAGTTGAGCGAATGAATCACCTTATCTCCACCAGCCGCAGGTTTCTGATCTATAAATACAGATGTGTGCATCCGCTCTGGGAGGACTGGGATGGGGAGGGGGAGCTGTGTCTTGCTGTTCACAGTAAATGGTGGTTATCAGTCTGGTCAGCCATTTCCCAGCCCTTGAACTCCCATGTGGAGGCTGAGACCCACAGAGGCCTGGGTCCACGCTCAGCAGTGTGAAGTCTCAATACACACAGTAACCTGATCTGGACCTTCATCCTTCCTACGGCTTGATTCCCCCCAGAGGTCCCAGGGTCTCCTGGAGCACATGTAGGCCTGGAGGTTCTGGCCTCCCTCCCCTGAAGTCTGTGCCATCGCAGGTGCTGTAACTGGCTTCCCAGTGGGTTCACGGCTTACACTCCAGCCTCCTTGCGGAGAGCGTTTCTCTGACTCTTGCTCCTTTTGCTAGATTCCAAAGGCCCTTCTGGAGCTGTCCGTTGCCGTGGGTCCACTAGGCTTTCTTACACTCAAGCCAGTGTCTGGACTCTGCCAATGCTGGAACTCTCCAGAAATCCACTCCTGAAGTGGGGCTGCAGGTGTCCCAGAGGCCGACATCAATCCTGATTAAGCA